TGATTATGTTAAAAAGATAATCTTTATATTACTTTTCTGTAATATTTATTTTTAAAAACTAACTTTTCTTCCAAGTATATTTCTCATTTGAAACGGATTTCTTTAGTAAGCGTACTTGCTTCTTATTGTTTATGAATTTGTGAAATTCAGCGCAAGATATATCATAGTTTAGTTTCGTAAAGAGTTCTGCTTTGACTACTCGTAATTCGACTCTCATCCTGTTGTGAGATCTCAAATGTGTCTATAGTGAACCAGTAAAAATGTAGAAATGTGTACATTCATTTAATATTTTTATTTGTAATTTATTGAAAAAAGAGAAAACACCAACAATTTTTTTATTTCTACAAATCTCATTAAGTAAAACAATATTTTTTTAAAATAAAAAATTGAAAATGCAGAAAATACGTGCAAATTCTTGAAATCTAAGAATCCGAAATATTTAAACGCGTAGTACATTCAATATTGTGCATGACCCGGAGATGGAAGTAGTAAACCCGGAGCCCGGAGATTGGTCACGAAACCCGAAGTCTCCGGGTGAAACCCGAAGAGGTGGCAACTGTATTTCAAATAGGTTGCAAATAATTTCCAAAAGATTAATTTATAAACGTATAATAAAGGCCCAATGTAAGAAACGAACTAAGAAATATGAAATAATATACACATTGTAACTTATGTGGCATCCAACTGCCACAAAACACTAAAATTAGTAACACGAAGCGCAGGATTATCGGAGAATGCGACATTTGACGCGAATTACTAAAAAATGCTAAAATTTGAAAAAAAAATCAACATGACCTTATTTGAAGATCTGTTGTTGATGAACGCATTTCATTAAGAAAAAAATTGTAGATTAATAATTGTAGTTGTAGAGAAACGCCAATTTCTCTTTTTAATTTTCGAAAACTCTTGGTTTTTAACCATCATGATATCTATGCCATTCTCTTGAACATCATTCCACTACAGACACTACAGATTATCCAACAACAAAATTTAATCAAAATCGATTTTTTTAATTTTTGAAACTATCTTCGAGGCTTCATGTAAAGTACCCCACAAAATTAAAATATCGATTTCAAATTCAAGGTGCCGTGACGTAAGTCAAATCGATTGGAGAATATACATTTTGGAATATATCGGTGGAACGGTTTGGCAGCTAGCGTTGTTCACAGACGTTTTGTCGTGAATCGATTTCTCGGTATCAAGGGCCCGTAAAACATGGATTCTGGCTACGTCACGTGTTTGAATTTTTTCTTTCTAAATATAGCAACCGGATTTATCCACTTTTTCGTTACCAGGGCTGTGTAAAAAGTTTTTGGCTGAAAATTCGCCGTTTTTGCGTTCACTACTACTTAACTTTCTCTTCTTAAGAAGTTCCTTCTTAAGCGCGAGAAAGTAACTTGTAGTTTTCCCGAAATTTCTGCTTCAAATTAATGAAACATAAACAGGTGTCCCACCAACTACGGGCCGCGAGACTCTCTGGGAGAACAGGAATGAATCAAAAGGACATGAAAAATAATCTTATTTTAATTATAATTTACTCTTGAAAATGCCAAATGCATATTCTATTTTCACATTGTACTCTATTCTGCAATTTGTATTCTCAATGTGTTGATGTATTTTCATTTAAACAATCCGCAAACTTTATTTGAAATTTGTGCAACGATGCCGCAATGGGTATTTCAGAAGTTCATTGTCGAAAAACGAGATGATAGCGGTGAATAAGATAAAGTGGTTTTATGTACAGTCGAGTTTGTGTTATACGTTTACAAGTTAGTCTTTTAGAAATGATTTGAAACTATTGGATAATCAATGTTTTTTGTCCGTATTGCGAGGTATATACTTGGATTTATTTAGAGCTGCCTTTAAAGTAAATCATCCGTTTCGGTGTCATCCATCAAATTGAACGTCACAATAGTGACGTCACTGTAATGAGGTTTAAGATTGGTTGATACCGTAACAGTTGATGTCCTGTCAGAGCTAAAAATAAATCGCAGTATAAAACATTATTTTTAGCAGTATATACATATTTTTACTGAACCAATGATCTGTGCATATTTGAATATTTATCTAGCAATACGCTGCATATTCTAATATTTCAAATTTCAACGAGTATACGGCAATACAATAGAACATCGATTATCCGTTTTTTAAAATAAAAAATGGTTTTGCTTTTAGGGTAAACATTTTGTGAGTTGATAATTAAACACGGGTTTCCAAACCTTAGGATTTACTTTATATTTTTAGATAATAAACACGTTGCCGATCCTCGCCTATAAAACGTTAAAAGGATCATTTTACTATTTGAATTGTTTATTGTATTAAATGAGTTTGACTACAGATCCTAGTTTGCAAAACAAATTGAAATAAAAACATGGGATCACATTCGTATAAGCTTTAAAGTTATATTTTCCTGCGCTTTGTTCAAATCGGTATATATAATAAGGCGTAATGAACTTAATATTACAAATATTAAAACATTAATAATGTAATTAGTTTATTAGAATTAACATTAGTTATTGGCCTTTGTAAGATGTAATATGACTAACCCTTAAACTAGTTGAAATCTGAATACAGTGTGACGTAGTGAAATAAGAAATAAATTTCAATAACAAAAGAAAAATTATATATTCAAAGATTATGTACAAGTTACAATGAATTGCTAATATTAAAACACTCCGGCAACCTTTTCCTTTCAGAACACTGCTTTACCGCAGAAAACACAAGCCACGCGTGATGCGCGGTGTCGGACCTCCGTCCCGTGACAATTACCGTCACATGGCCTGACGCCAAAATTTAACCCGGTCGTGGCGACCGTGTGCCTACAGCACGCGAAATTGTCTGGCCCTTACTCTCCGGACATCTCGCCCACACTCCTACACCCCTTGTACACACGTACAAGCTTCCCGATGCAAACTGAATGAGAACGCGGGCGCCGATGGCGCCGCGTTAAATAGTTGAGGCTGACACCCCCACCACTGTTCCATAGATAGGCTCGCCGGCTGGCGCGAGGCTCGCAGGCCAGCCTTGGTTTACGCCCCCACACAGGATTCTTAGGGTTGGCTGCCTGCTTCCGTAAACGAGGCTCGCCGGCAGCATCCTCGGAGTTTACAGCCTCAGGTATTTTTGGCTCTGCGGCACTACCTGAGTCAACCGCCCGAGCGCAAACTCCCGGATGTTCAGGCTCAACCCCTTCCTCCGCCGCAGCGTACTTTCACCAACCTAACGGTTCTGGCCCTCGTGTTAACGACGCCACAACAGATGTAAATAAGCGTGTTTGCCACGAATTGATAAGATAATATTCGCCAAGCATATATGCCAAACGAATTGCTGTTTTGACAACGATGCGCTGGCAACAGTGCGTTGCAAGCTTCTGATTAATTTGCTGCGAATACTGTAACAGACAAATGTATTAGTTTGTTTCATTTGTCAAAGTTAGAAATGATTGCTGTTCCTGACTAACGAAATGATTGCAGATATGCGTCACAGACACTTTGTGTGAATACATTGAATCGGGCGTTTTCAGGAAATAGCTGAGGTGTTAGAAGCGCAGAAATGGCAATATTTGATTATCACGTAGCCGTTTCTAACAATGTGAGAAAGTATGTGTTGTTGTAGCACCACCAGTTCATTATTTTGTGTATGCTTAAAATATTTCTCCTCGCTTAATCTTTCCTAATTCGCGGTGATTGTTTGCACATCCCATATGAAATTACTACTTCAAATCCAAAACACAAACGAAGTTTTTGACTGCTCTCTCTGGTCCTGGTTCGAATGCTGCTGATCAGTACTGACTGAATGGTACTTTTCTGTAGCCTGTTTTACACGATCATTTTTTCATCATTTTTCGCCGGTACAGAAAAGATACAGGCCAGACTGGATGTAATTTGTAAGAAAAAATGACGCATGCTTAATTTTTCTGTACAGATTTCATCCAGTTTGACTACCGCGCTCCAGGCGGCACTTCACGGGACTTTCTCTAGTTTGTTATGCGTGTGGAGCGATATGATCATTTTGTAGTTGCCTGAGAGCATTCTGATGTGTTGAATTGTAATGTGAAGTGGTTATGTAAAGAGAAATAAATTATGCACTGTATTGTAATAGTGTCGCATCCGAGCTCAGTCCTAACTTAATCTAACTTCATTTCTTACCACAGATGCGATGTTCAAATGTTTGAACTTCAGAGCTACATGCGGCGTCCGGAGGAAGTATTTTCTTCATGATTCGTCGAAGACAGAAATGACAGTGTAAAACACTCCTCCAGTATCGGCACCGAAACATACTGCGTAAAAACAAACGTCCGTTTTCCATCCATTTACTGTACAGAAAAATGATGACAAAAGGATGCAAAACTGACCGTGTAAAACAGGCTTAAGTGAAGGCCGCTGGTGTAATTCTGTTCTACACTGTCCGTCGGGGCTCCCACGCATTGCGTGCATGGGGCGATGGAGGGGCAGCGGCTGAAGGAGTGGGCGGCTGGGCGAGCAACTTGGTCAGTCGTCGGGTCTCCTGAATTGTTTTCTTTTTGAACAGGGCGGCGCCTACGAAAGGGATCAGCAGTGGCGGCGGCCACGGCCCGCGTCGGCGGTGGGAGCAGCGTGTGCGGCGGCGGGAGGCGGGCCGAGTGGTGCGGTGGCGCGGGGGCGGGGGTGGACGATAAGACGCGCCGGCGGGCGCCCGCAGTCCCAGTCCGCCGCGGCGCACCGACCCGCTAGCGCTCACAGCCGCTGTCGCAAAGCGCCGCGAGTCCCCACCTCTCCAGCGCCGGAACCACCGCCACCACCGCCACCACCGCCGACGCCGCTCGCGTCACTCTGGTAGCACCCGGCGCACCGGCGACATGGCCACCGAAGACAAGGCGCAGGCGGACGGGAAGCCGGCTGCGGCGGCCGCGGCGGCCGCGGCGCCCCACAAAGCGAACAGCGCGAGCGGCGCGGGTGGCGCGGGAGCCACCGGCCTCGCCAAGGACGGCGCGCGCCACGAGTGCCTGCGCTCCCGCGCGCTGCTCGTCATGGTGGCCAGCTTCCTGTGCAACGGCGTCATCTTCGGCGTCATCAACTCGTACAGCGTCATCTTCGAGCGCCTGCAGAAGCAGCTAGAGGATGCCGGCGTCGAAAACGCGACCTCCAAGGCTTGTGAGTGTTGCTCTTTGGCTCTGTCTTTATCTCAGTCGGCATGTGCGGTTGTGGCCAGTGCACGTGGCGCGCCCGGCGCCCGGCACCGCCGCCGCGAGGGGTCCCAACACATGGTACTTGCGGATGGCGCCGCAGATTGCGCGGGGCGCTGCCGTCGTGAGGTTCTTGCTACTCGTAACACAACACGAGTTTTGTGTAGTAATTTCGTAATTGCGAGTAATTGGTTGACCTAGCAATTTTACTCTTCGCCGAAGAACTTTGCTTTCTTTACGTCATGCACGATTGGCATTTTTACTATCTTTGGCTGTTACTGTGCTACTACTTCTCAAGTGACGCGCTCATGGAATGTCTGATGTGCATCAGACATTCCATAGCCGCGAAAATAATAACTGTAGATTTACTGGACTTTTGCTGTGCTTTGTTGTTGTTCATGCGTGGTTTGAAAATAATATCGAAAGTGAAAGTGGAAGAAGTCAGTTAACTGAAATGCAATTACGTTCTGATTCAGATGCTTTACGGTTGTTAAACTGCCACTTTTTGTTTCTTTGCTCCTTTTCATCGCGTAAGAAAATATAAGTGCAGAACATTACTTGTTTGTGATGAATAATTAGCAGGTTTGATTTTTCTCCGAAGTTTAACTATTTTTTGTGTGGAAATGTTTTTAAATCGTGTAGTAGATGTAAAGGAAATGAAATATTTATATATCCTGTGACACACTTTAGAGTCTAGACGATATAAATGTGTAAACTTGCCTATAATAATGTTCCTACCATGTAATTGAATTTTCTTCAGGGAAAACAGCATTTCCCTAGCCTGGTTTTCGTCCAGATTCTCAATAATTATGTGAACAAATATTGTTTTTTCATGAAACTGCTGTTCTTTTGTAAGGATCTGAAACCTAAATACTTATCCTCAATACCTCCATCACCGTCGGTGGGTAATGACTGACGAAACCGAGGAAGAATAAGACCGAAAACATGTAAACGTAGAAATCGAAGATGGAAAACATCGTGGATATAGAAACACAGGATAAAAAATGAATAAATAAATAAAATGCAATAATATAGAATGAACGTTTCCTTGAAATGAATGGCAGTTTGGCCTCTTCATACGCGTCTCGGCCGAGGCGCAACACGTTTTCCGCGGCCGCGGCTGATGAGCAAGGCAACTGTTTCCGCTCCCGCTCTCGTTGCCGCTGCCGTAAACAAACGCGAAGCGGGGCGTTCGCGCGGCGCCGCGCCACGCGGCTGCCGCCTGCATCTCGCGTCTTCGTTGCGTGCGGACGTCGTCGTAGACAGTTCTCCTTACTGTCAATCGCGTTGTCGACTCGAACACGGAATACGGGGAGGACAAAACGATATCTCCCCGGTACCCATCAGGAATTCATCAACCATATCAACTAAAAAAATATTATTATAAATATTTCGCAGCAATAATATGGTAAAGGAATTAATCTCTACAAAAGTTTTAATAATTTTTATTAATAATTTTCCAGAGTTAACTTTCGGGAAAACGCTTTTACTATCCTCAGTGGATCTCTAGCAAAACGGAGAAATGAAAACATTAACACAAGTTGAACACAAAAAAGGGGGGGTGTACAGTGAATTTAGTGGATAAACAAACAAATAATATCATGTAAATACAAATAGAAAGTACTTACTGCCCAAGCAACGTGAATCTCCCATGAATGTTCACAACATGGTCAAAATGTGCCCATGTCACATTGTTGATGTCACATTTTTGACCATGTTGTGAACATTCTTGGGAGATCCACGTTGCTATGTCACCATGTTGATGTTACCATGCCACCATGTCACATTGTTGATGCCACATTTTTGACCATGTTGTGAACATTCATGGGAGATCGTCGTTGCTTGGGCAGTAAGTACTTTCTATTTGTATTTATATGATTTCCACTAAATACACTACACCCCCCCTTTTTTGTGTTCAACTTAAACCTTTTGTGAATATTATTTCCTTTACCATATTATGGATTACCACAAGATATTTGCTACCACCACGGAATTTATTTTGCAGGAAGGTAAGGTGTAAAACTAATTCAACAGATTTCAATGCCACTTCTAAGCGCCATTAGTAAACTCTCTCCAAAAATCCATTATCTATAAATCCATGTTTATTCCCCAAAGCTTTTTATGATTTATGTGCATTAACGTCTCAATCAATATCAATACATTACAAATCATCCAAAACCATACCCTCAGACTAGCCATATATGCCCTCCGTTTTTTACATCTCCAACTTTCAACTCCACAAACAATTTAATTTATCCCTCGTAGTTCATCAAATCGTTATCCTTTGATAATTTTCTCCCAAAAATAAACTCGTTAAACCAATCAACACATTACAACGCCAGTAACGCGTTGCTAAACCAATCAACCAACCAACCAGCTAAACCAATCAACACATTTAGTAGCCATAACCTACCACGCTAAGAGCTCCCAAATACAATATCAAAAAGTCAGATGTTAAGGAATGCATGAGTTTTCTTATCATGAGTAGTTAATTGTAATTATAGCATTACCGTGTAAGCTTCTTAAGCGATTAGATGTGATCTATCATGATAGTATAAACTACATAACATCCTTTCACGAATAAATATATTTTTTAAAAGGGGATTCACCCAGTAAGCAGAAAGTTGGAAAGAATTTTTCATGGTCAAATATTACTTTCTGGTTTTCATTCCCTGTATTAATTAAGCTTCTGACGTTTTATCTCATCTCAGTTGTTGAATCATTGCCATAAATTTTACCACGGTGAATCAAATAAGCCGTGTTCTCAAAACGAAGAAAGTAACACCAACTTTTTTCGTTATATACAGAGTCTCCGGGGAGGAAACGTCGAAATTTCGAAAGTTCTTAAGACAATTTTAAGCTTTTTTTTCTAATAAGCTACTGACAAAATATGCTTAAAATTGTCTTATGGGCTTGTTTGCGAAGTTTCGACGTTTCCTCCCCGGATATTCTGTATTTCTTTCGACTTTTTATTTTAATTTATTTTAGGGGTGTCGAACTTAAACCTTATCCTTATTTACTAGTATTTGTCATTAAAATTATCCAGCAACGTGAGATAAGATAAACGATGACGAAACGTACTGTTCTGTGTTCGGTGATAAATGAGCTTGGACCAGGAAACTATAACCTGGTTTTGATTCGTGGTTTAAATTAAATTTGTTAACTGAAATAAATAAAAGAATTCTTCCTTTAAAACATTTATTACTAATAGACATACATTTACTACGTAAGAGGAAGTACACATTTTGGAAGCAATTAATATCATGAATTACATCGCCACTTCTGTCATGTGTTTTTAATTATCGATTACTCCTGAAAGTTTGAATAGCCGTACTATTTAATTTATTTCAGTTGGTTGCCTTCTGTCACGGATTTTCTTCTTACGTTGTACTTCGTAGACAAGCTATTTACCTTGTGCTTACCAGTGACCAGCTTGCCACTTGTGTCAATATTTGTTCTGTTTGTGCAGCGTGATGCACCACGAAAGCCAGTCCGAAAAATTGCTTGTTTGCACAGAAGCTTCTCACCAAGAAGTGAACGTGAAAAAGCAGGACTATCACGCAAATACAGATCGTTCATTAACTACCGACCGAGTAAATAACAACGTTGGTTAACATATTGTTCATTGTGCAATCTAAGTGTTCTTTAAAATGTTTTTGCTCGTGAATAAAAGCGTTTGACAAGATGTCAAATGCTTTTATTCATTAGATGTCAGCTATTAAAAAAAACTTTTCTAAATATGTCAAGGCTCGATACTTTGAGGAGAATATATGGAGGGTATCAAGGAAGTGTTCTAAAATGAAAGAACTGGTTGCAAATGAAAAGTTCGTGTATCTGTATAGTTATAGTTGGTGCAAAGTAATGTTATTTGTTGTATGTTACCGCATAATCCCTGACAGTCCATCGTTCAGTTATTTCAGAACTTTGCATAACAGGATTTCCTTTCTTCTTTGAACCTGAGCAGTGTAAAGTCTGGGAGGTCGATTAACATTCGTTCCAGACCACTCTCTCCTTCAGAAGCCGTCTTGAACATGGGCTGAATTCAAATTTTCTAACTTGATAAATATCATTTAAACGACTTCCTCTGCTCGGGTCCATTGAGAAGAAAGATGAGTAATAGCATTTCAGGAATGCACATACCATCCCTAAAGAAGCTTTTTTGTACAGGGTTTCAAGTATGAATCACATAGGATTTCTCTTGGACCACAGTAGCTACTAGCACTGAGTTTTGGTTGTTATTTCTAATTTCTTCTTACCGTCTAGGTTATTTCTTGAATTTATTATTTCTATAGATTGCCTCTTTCAACTATTGTGTTGATAATGTATTACATATTTTACTGCAGCAATTTTGAAAAAATTATTTAACTCTATATTCCTTTTCAACATTAAACATGTAAGTGATCTAACGGGACTCATATTCAATTTTTCTTTGGGGAGGAATAAATATCAAACAAATCAGTTATTCTTTCCGATTCTGTTGTCGTTCTGTGTAAGAAGTGTATGCACATAAGAGTGGAATTACAACTGTCATTAGATCTCCCAGATGCGTGGCGTTTGTGTTCCTTTTAGCTTCTCGGCGCTCTGTTTGAAACCTCTCGAACGTGTGCGACTGGTGAGCGTACTTCGCCCGCCGGTTGTAGCATCATTGTGTGCAGAGTGATGGCGTTGGCGTGAGACCGGTTTCTAAAGGGGGAGAGGCTAACGTGCGCGTCTAGATAGCTCTTTCTACGACTGCCTTATCAGGTTGATTTTGACGTAAAGGGAGAGACATCAGATCGCCCAGGCGGAGATATTTGGCCACATAACGCCCGTATTTTTTTCACGCTCCACACTCGTGTTAAGAAAAGAAGGGCCTACAAATGCCATATTCTTACATTATGGTCTTGGTGTTTACGTATTGTCTTCCGCTTATCTGGCTTATGTTCGTGTAGGTGTTGTGTTATAGAATAAGGGAAATGTGTTGGAAAA